CCTCTGTTTCATTACTTAGTAAATGAAAACGTTGGGCACAGGAGAAATGTAAAAAAAAGTCCACAATTATTATAGTAATCGAAGGATGAAAGAAAAAAAAAAGAAACCATGAGTGCAAAATCAGCACAAAGAATTATGGGAAAGTTTGGAAGAGAGACTTAATCACTACACAGCCTTCAATCTTTGACAGCTATTTTGTCTTTTTAACGAAAAACCTCGTACTTTGCTTTTAGCGGGGATAAAATCTCATAGTGTGAAATACTTGTGTTGTACGGTATAAGCAATTTTGTCGCTGACCATTCAGATCCAAATGTCGTCGTCATTTATAAACTTAATGATAATAATAAACAAATTCGTGTCTGGTATTTGCACATTATTCCTGGATGGAATTTCCCTCTTTTATTTATTATTCTCTGAATATAAGTTTCTTATCCTTTCGCAATATGCAATAAATATTCTGCATGCTCTATTTACTTTTACAAGTTTCCATAATCACAAGTATGTGTTTATATATCAAACACAATCATATAATTCGTAGTTTAGTATATTTGGAATGTTACTATGAGAGATGGATAGACAGTTCAGGCTACACCTGCTACCGTAAGTAACAGTAGATAGCATCACCTGTGATTGTTCACACAAAGTAGACGGATACAACACTTTCTTGTTTTGTTATCGTTTCACAGTTAGTGAGCAAGATAATCTATAAAAGCTTCAGTACTTATGTAAAATAAATAAAAACTGTTTATTTAATCTTTCAACTGACTTGTAACGTTTGAGGTATGATTAAAGACCTTCATCGTTAATTTGTGATTCTACATGCAAATAGAAACAAATCTTGCGTATTCAGTCTATATAGTAGTCGCACACCCTCCAGTATGTCTGTACCCCCTATCGATTTTAAGAACGAAAAGCACCAAAAGTATAAATAGTGCAATAACTAATTCATTCATTGTTTTAAAATTTCTAACCTGTCTGTCGCAATGGGGTCCCCAACACTGTCGACTTATAGGCGTTTCAAAGCAAACGGAAGCTCTCGGTGCAACAAGCAGATTGCCTATCCCATTCTGGTTTCTAAAACAGACAATTTCAGTAAAAAACTGTGTCGTCTGTGTCCAATATTCGCAATGTTAAGTTTTAATATAACTCAAACAAATTTAAAAAAATAAACGAAATTATTGAGATTATCAAAGATAATGAACTACCTCATATATGGTGCTTGAAAAATAAACATACCCATACAAACAGGGCAAGTACGTTACTACAAAAACTCCCATTAAATTCAAAATGTCAACAAGTTGACAACGTTTATACCTCCTGGCAACAACCAGGTTAGAATTTATAAATAAATAAATAAATAATATGACGGAGTTTTGTGCATTTATTATATCTTTGTGCCTTTAGTTTTTAAAATCGGTAGGGAGTATAAACATACGGGAGGGTATGCAAATTCTATAGGAGGAAAAGTCCATTTATCATGCGAGTATTTTCATCAGCATGTCACTGTCATTGATTTCTTCAAATCTATATTTTAATTTCCTTGTCCAATTTAAGTTTATGCTTCTGAATTAGGTCCACGTTTTTATTAGGTCACGGATGACAAACTAACACATTTTAATAATCAAGTGAGTGAATATAAACGATATCGACAATACTTTATGGCGTGCTTAAATTCAATTTAAATAGTAAGTCCACATCTTCCATGCTGTAATAAAATTTAAATAAATTATTACCACAGTACAACCAGAATGTATCACATTGAAGTCACAGTACAAATAGAATGTATCACATTGAAGTCGCAGTACAAATAGAATGTATCACATTGAAGTCACAGTACAACCAGAATGTATCACATTGAAGTCACAGTACAAATAGAATGTATCACATTGAAGTCACAGTACAAATAGAATGTATCACATTGAAGTCACAGTACAAATAGAATGTATCACATTGAAGTCACAGAAAAAGAAGACGAATCATACTGATATTATGTTTGCTGGTCCTTGGGCGATGCGAACAGTTGCAAATTGTACAATATTATTACTCACTGCGGAGATTCTAAACCTGTATCAGCATCCAATACAATGTTCCAGATTAGAGTCAGGAAACGTACCCTTTACAATAAGTTGTTTAAAAATGATATATAAAAGCTGTTTTTTCATTAGAGCATATTTTTTTCGTTCAACTCCTTTATTATTTCCGTGTCTTTACATGAAAACTTTCAACTCTATTACCGCCACTTTAATAAAATGTTTAGACTACAATCCATCTCAAATGAAGAAAGAAAAGAAATCGGTATCATTGTCAGCATGGACCACCGACCTCTACAAACGTCAGATTGTCTGATATTGTTTCAGCAGCTACAATTTAAAATCTGCCATTAGTTTTAATGTACTCGTCTTTTCCAATGTTCTTGCCCAGTTTTACTCTACAATTCACGACATACAGACCAGTTTGCCAGCAAAAAATAAACACGCGAATAACCATTTGCATTTGGTGGTGTATCTTGAAATGAACACTTAAACAAGTTTTTGACATATAATTATTAGATGTATAATCATTAGGTATATAATCATTGGGTGTATAAACATTAGGTATATAATCATAGGTATATAATTATTAGGATTATAATCATTAGGTATATAATCAATTATGTGTATAATCACTGGGTGTATAATCATTAGGTATATAATCAATTATGTGTTTAATCATTAGGTATATAACCAATTAGGTATATAATCAATTATGTGTATAATCACTGGGTATATAATCATTAGGTATATAATCAATTATGTGTTTAATCATTAGGTATATAACCAATTAGGTATATAATCAATTATGTGTATAATCACTGGGTGTTTAATCATTAGGTATATAATCAATTATGTGTATAATCATTGGGTGTATAATCATTAGGTATATAATCAATTATGTGTATAATCATTAGGTATATAATCAATTATGTGTATAATCATTAGGTATATAACCAATTAGGTATATAATCAATTATGTGTATAATCACTGGGTGTATAATCATTAGGTATATAATTATTACAATATATCAATGAAATGTATTTTTCCTCTAAAACATAATGTGGTACAATGGATGTTTGGCTTTCGCATATTCACGTCAAGAATAAATAATTCCTGATATATTCATAAATATGACAATATGTACCACATATGCTTTAGTCTGGGCCAAAAACTAGAAATATCATTAACTCTTTCATAATGGTTTAATTATTCCAACTGACCATTCCTTAGGAATGATACCTGAATGAGCCTGGCGTTGTATAAATAGAAATAACTGCAACATTCACTGATATTGTGGTTTATTAACCAACAGGAAATACTCGAAAAAGAAACCTAAAACAAAACACAAAAATGCTTAAATATACAACACTACAATAACGATTCCCTACCCGCATAACACATAAATATTATACCACCTGAAACGAAAACTAGAAATCTAGAGTTGTTACGATTCTCTAGAATTATGACTATCATTACGGGTCAGTGCAAAAGTAGGACGAGTAAGGTGTTGTTCATCTGGACACAACAGAAGTGCTAAGGACTTTTTTTTATCAGGTAGCATGGATTTGACGTTAGTGTGTACTTCGTAAGCTGTGATCGATCGCTCACTCACTCACTCACTCATTCACGCCAAACACATACCTGGGTCATACCTGCGTCAAGATTATGTAAGGATGTGATGTGAGTATGATTTTTAACATAGCTTTAAAAAAAAATTCAGTCATATCGCTACAATGTCAGTAGTGTGGAGTTTATAGTGATATCTAGCACTGGTGCATCATGCCGCATACATGTAGCATGATGTCCCACCCAGTCACATTATCCTGACACCAGGCTGACCAGTCCTAAAACTAACCTCTTAATGATGAGTGTCAAGCGAGGCAGCTGTTAGTACCATTTTTGTAAGTCATTGGTATGACTCAATTCGGGAAAAAAAAACCACGACCACCCGCATCCGAGGCGGACTCTCTAACCACTAGGCCACAAGAGCGGTTAGATTATGTAAGGAAGTGTTACACGTATTTGTAGCATAAGTGATTCCGTGTCTGAATATTTATTGATAACTCCGTAGATGTCTTCTGTTTTGCTGTTTTCAATGATTTTAATATCTTCTGATATCTCATTTTCAGTTATCTTATCATTTATCTGTTTCTCAAAAACTCGTCTAGTACAAAAATTAAGCAAGCATTAGAATCGTCGGTTTTGTTGAAACTCAATTTTATGGAAGGGAAATTCTTTAAATTTGTGTCGCTGCTTCCATTTTTAAGTCTACAATTTATTTTCCTCTTTTTATGATTGTTTTTGTTTTCGATACTTGTTTAAAAAGCCTTACGTATGCATTGATTAAGTGTCGTCTGATTTTTAATTGCTACTTGCCTGAAGCATTTTTCGTGTAATATTTGCATTTCGTCTTAATAAGTAAACCAGCTTCGTTTAGTGGAATGTTTTCCTCACAATTCAACAATTTCCGTAACCATATTACCTATGTAAAGACCTTTTATTGGGTTAAAAACTTTATGAAAAAGATAATTTGCACTTTAAAGGAAAATTGAGATGAATTCACTAGCTAACAGTAGAGTTGTCTTAAAATCGCCTTTCAATTAAAAAAGGAAGCAAAATGACTTCATAGTTAGTTAAGGAACACAAACATGGAATATACTTCCAAAACGGTAATTCTAAACACAAATATCAATACAAACGTTATTTAAAAACAAGATTAACTTAAATCGTGTTTTAGTTATATAGCCTTTGTCAGTTTTCAAGAATATTATGTATGGAAAGAACGTACTACGAATATAAATAACTAAACATACCCAATCCCTTTTTTTTGTTATTATTTTGCTTCAAGTCATTTGTGTGTGCGTGTGTGTGTGTGTGTGTGATTTAGATTTTTAGCTAACACAAAGCTCTTAATAATGAGTGCCAACCGAGGCAGCTCTTAGTACCATTTTTGTAAGTCTTTGGCATGACTCAGCCGGTGGATCGAACCCACGACAACCCGCATACGAGGCGGATGCTTTAACCATTAGGCCACCGGAGCGGTCGAATAATATATATTTAAAAGCAGTAATAATTAGAATAGTTTGAAATACAGCTAGCTTTCACCACATTTGTATTCCATTCAAACTTGTAAACAAATATAATATACCAGCGGGTATTAATATAATAATTAATATAATACCAGCAGTGATGCCGTATTTTCCTAAACTCATGAAATATTCGTATCCCATCTCTAAAATTCTTAAATGCAGTGCCGAAAAGCATGTGTCATTATTTATGATGCAAAACATATCAAATTATTTTGCATGAGAAGAAAGGACAGAGAGAATATAGACAGTATAGATGTTTGCATTTTCGTCAAAAGAAAGCAAAATAAACAGTACATCTGTTATATGTAAACTTGTCAATAGTACTTATACAGTGATTAAGGCAATCTGTATTTATATGAAGACTTTTTTTAACATTCGTAGTAATAATGTTATTATCTGTTTTAATCAGGTGTAAATTTGAACCGGCTGTCCTTATCATCCAGTGTTCACTCAAAAACATCCTTTATTATACTCTATCCATGTTGACATGGCTCAGGAGCACAGTCCCTCATGAATAAAAGAAATATAGCTTGTTTAGAAATATTATTTGCCAAGCGAAAAGCAGACCAAAGACTTGTCCTGTATTATAACAAATAGACTTTGCTACAAATGAAAAGGACATACCAATGGTATTTGTTTTATAAACACAGTATTCGATTACAACGGATAGGGAAGAAAACCAGCACAAACGCATCTATATATATATATATATATATATATATATATATATATATATATATATATATATATATATATATATATATATATATATATATATATATATATATAATGATTTATACCGAGGTCTTCCCGTTTTTTTTTCTCCTTCAGTTATACTGGCCGCCATGCCGTGTATAACCCAGCTTGCGCCGAGAAATATCATTAAACCTTAAAACAACAACATCCATAACAACATTACTTAAACTGACACTTATTCTGGTGACTATTCGGTTATCTAACATTTATATTCCAGTTTCAGCAGTCCCTACTGTTCGTTTTTAAAGTTTTTTATTCATTTGTAGTTGACTTATTTTTAAACATTTCCGCTAAAAAGAGCGTCTCTGTTTGACAGGTACAACAAACTTAGAAAAGACATCGTTATCAGCTGTAGTCAAGCTTCAAGAGACATCATTCATCATCATTGATAGATCTTCCTCGAAAGACCACGCGAGTAGCGCCCTTGGAATGTCGTCTCTTTCTGGGGTTCTGGTATCGTCTTTTGTGGTTGTGCAGGTCAATGGGCGAGTGACAGTCCCTATTGCAGTTTTTTCAGACGTACTGGGAAGTCTGAGTTGCTTGGGTTGCTGTTGCACTCTTCTTTCTCACACGTTCCTCTGCGTACAGCTAGTCTCACCTCACATCAGCGACTGCTATATCATTGCTGACTTCAGTCTCCATGTGTCTCGGTCCTCGGCCAACACACAGCCCTAATGAGTCTGACCAGGATCCATCATACAGGACTGTTCCTTTCGTATCGGCATGGAAAGAGATTATCCTGCTGCGAAGTTTTTTTGGGTGGATGGGTGGGGTGGGAGAGTTCAAATAGGCCCTTCCTGCTGACCAGGTCGAAGCCCTTGCTGAGTTCGATGAACATCATGTAGAGTGGCTGATCTTGCTTTTTACGCTTATCTTGAAATTCTCGGAGGGAGAAGATCATGTCTGTTGTCAAACTGCCTGCTCTGAAGCCGCACTGTGATTCCGGGTACACGCGGTCCGCTATCAGCTGCCACTTTGCCAGAGATGGTCAGGAATGAGATTCTTCTGTAATTGTTACAGTCTTTGTGGTCGTCCTTATTTTTGTAAAGGGTCACAATAGTGGCGTCGCTAATGTCTTGGAAGACTGTCCCTTCCTCCCAGCAGACGCAGGGTGGCTCATGCAACGGTTATATCAGTGTTGGTTTCCCACGTTTGATGGCTTCAGGAGGGATGCTGTCGCTACCTGGTGCTTTATCGTTTGGGAGGGAGTAGATGGCTTTGTTCCTGTACGTTGCTAAGGGCCGCATCGGTGACTGCCGTTTCTTGGGAGTACAGCTCTGAGTAGTGCTCCATCCATCTGGCCATTTGTTGCTCGCGGTCTGTGATCTTTGATTCTGTCAGAGATTTTAAGGGGCAACCCATTTCACTGTCGAGCCTATGACCTTCTTGATGCCACTGTACATGCCTTGGATGTTTCCCGATTCGGCACTGTGCTGAATTCCTTTACATAATTACTGCCAGTACTCGTTTGCGTACTGTCTAGCGATGCATTGGGTGGTGCTTCGGGATCTTCTGAGGGTAGCAAGCGTCCATTCATTGGTGAATTTTATGTAAACTATGAAGGCTTCTAGTTTGTCCTCGATTACTGATTACATCATTAAAAGATCTTAGTTTGAACCAGTCCTGTAAGGGCCGTTCCTTGTTTACAAACGCGGTCATGGCTGTGCTATAGATGGCATCCTTCATGGCGTTACACTTGACTGTGGCATCGTGCTCCTGGAGAGTCTAGTTAGGGGAGGACACATACGTCGGAGGAGATAGACATCTGCGCAGTGTTGATGCGAGAGCGATATTATGGTTGAAGTGGTGTAGTGTACGTGGCTGTAGGCGCACCCTGCTACTCACGAGGGCGTGTTCGGAGTCGGAGCACTCCTTTTCTACGCCAATTTGGTGGGACTTATAACTTGTAGATGCCAGCTTCCGTGTTGTTTCCTTGCTCAAGAGCGAGGCTGGAGTGGCCTTTCCAGGGCGCATGCCTGGGCGTGTGGTATGGAAATCCTGCTGGGCTGCCCAGACGTCAGGATCCCCCTCTCGTCTTTGCTCGTAGTGTCCAAAAGAGTGCTGAACATGACGTTTGGCACCAGTTCGGATGCAGGAACTGCCGGAAGGAAGTTGCAATTGACACACAGCCACATTAAGGCCTCCACTGTTAATTTTCTGTCTTGGTTTACTCAAGTAGAATTTCCGTCTCCCAAAGTAATCCACAAGGCAGCGGAGTCATCATCCAGTGGCACTTCGTTCGTTTTGTATTGGAGTTTCCATCTCCTAGACGAACTGCCTGACGAGGCTAACTAGCTTCATCTGCCCAGGTCAGAGTTTTCCTTCTCTTAGAATGGCTGCCTGCCAATGCTAACGAGCCCAGTCTGCCCACCCAGTTATACCACCAGGCACTCAGTCGAGTCACACAGCAGGCTTTGTGAAAATGGGGCCCCGCATGAAGGTGTTGCTATGGACGCAATAGTGTATGAGAGGCCATATGCAAGTACCTCCTGCCCAGCAAAGTCAGACAGTGGTCCCTGAGCAATCAATACTAATGGAAAGGAGAAGCTATGAAAGACGCTTCACTTTCCTTTAGCGAGCGGGACGTTAGGCCCTGACCTCGCACACCCCCAGATTCACCATTAATAAAAGTATAATAATTGCATTAACAAGAACAATGTTTTGTTTTTTTAGGGTAACCTTAGAAAAGTATCCGATCATTTTTTTTTACTTATGTTTTGAGTTCGGTTATTGATTCCATCTTGCCAATTGACCTTCAGTAAGGACGGGTAGCAAAGATAATTCTTTATGCCATATGTTGCTTAACGTGCGCCCAAAGGCGGATCGTTGGAAGAAATGGTGATCTTATAACCTTAATTTCCAACCCGTTATCTCCATGGAAATAACCCTACTATATGAACCACACATATATACTGTAATGTTTGATATTCCTGAATGCATAAGTTCACAAGGAATACAGTTGATAGGTAAATAACCGTGAAGAATTATTTGTATCAAATCTTTTTGCCAAAAGAGGGATTTTACGCTTACAAATGCAGGAATACAGCCAGACTATACGCAACTAGTCAATTCAATAAAGCAATAGTCCAAGCAAAACACAACCACAATTTATTGGATATATAAACGCATACATGTAACTGGAAAAATCCCCCAGACCACCCAAACCCCCTTCAGTATATTAACAGTCATGGCTAAACTGTCAATTAAAATAAAATAAAGTATAAACTCAGAAGAGAAAGAACATTACACCTCAATTATAGACATGTATAAAACATATATGTCTATCTCACACACTCTAGATGAAACTATTTAGGTCTTTTTTTACCGTGTTCTGAATTAAACTCTTTGTTATATCACATATTGTTTTATTTCTATTTACGCAGCATAGATTATTATATAGATTTAAATTGTATTGTGTGATTGACATTTGTCCATATTCGAGGGTAGGAGTTTGGGCCTCCTAGACTAATGTCTTTTTTTAAAACAACACATTACATAGATATGTTTTCTATGATTGTAGATATTATTATTATTATTATTATTATTATTATTATTATTATTATTATTATTAATTATTATTATTATTTGTAGGTAAACATTCTTATTCGGACTTGAGTTCAGGAAATTGGTTTTCCCCCCGGGAATTCCTCGTGAAACTAATATTTGCCATGTTTTTTTGTTAATTTAAACTCTATTAATTTACCTGATATTGTTTAAAACTTAAAATGTTCTGGAATTTAACTTATGATTCTTATGCTTGTCCTTTTATTGTGTCTTACGATTTATCTTAAGGTTATTTATATTAGAATTATTCACTCGTATCTTTACTTCTGAAGTGGAATCAATATTTTAGTTGTATTTATTATGAGAGGATCAACTTATTTTGAATTATTCATTGGAATTATGAAGTGCTCAAAATTACTTTCGGACTAATTTATTATTACATGGATAATTATGAATTCATTTAAAGACACTTTTGATTTTATCATTGCAATATATCAAGACCGTTAGCAAACAAACACTTTTCCCAGGCTGTTGGTATATCAGCACATTCTAGTTTCGAATGCATTCAGAAAACTCTATATTTTGGTCTTGATATATAACGTTCAGGATTACTTGGGATTTAATTCACAATACTGTAAGATATTTTCTTTCAAGTTTTCACTTTTTGTATTCTAGGGAAAAAAATTATTTGTTGA